GGCTATAACGAAACAAATAAAAATTTAGGTAAATATTTTTTTTATATACAAATGTTTTGTGTTGCCCTAGAGATGACGATAATAGTACTCCCAAAAACTATAATTGGGACAGACACTCCGCAACCAATATGACTTGAAACAATCTGCATTAAGCAAATTGGCCATGTAATTATAGGTATGTTTTTAACTAAATACTAACATTTATACTATTAAATATTTATATCAAAATCAATATATATATATAAATTTGTGAATATGATAATTTATTATTATTAGTATTATTACTATTGTTATTATTGTTTAATCTACATATTGTTCAATTTGTAGATTAAACAAGAATAACTTGTATTTTAGTCTAAAAGTATTTAACGATTTTAAGTCACGAAGTGGGGGCGGCAGATTGTTCCAGCATTTGGTTGCGGCATATCTGAAACTTCCACGAAAGGCTGCAGTACGATGTGGGTGCACTAACAGTAAATAGGGATTCGCCCTGGTGGAGTGATTAGTGTTTACGACCGATGACCACAAAAGTTTATCATAGAGATATCCCGGAGACTTGGATTTAATGACTCCGAATAAAAGTAAAGCGAAATGCAATTGTCTGCGGTAGTCAGTCTTTAAGGATTTGGCTTCATTTATGTAAGGAGTTACATGTGCACGCGGAGGAATGTTGAAACAATAACGAGCGCAGGCATTCTGTACTTTCTGAATAGCCGTTTTCGAGCGTGCAAGCATCCGTGGCCCTATCACTGTATCGGCGTAATTTAATTTTGACAGCACCAGTGATTCACACAATGTTACACGTAATTCAAATGATAAGGACTCTCGTATACGGTACAATAATTTTAAACGGTAAAAGCAGTTACGGACAGTATTAATAACTTGCTTTTCAAATCGCAAGCTGTCGTCCATGATGACGCCCAGATTTTTAGCTTAAGTGACTCTGTCAATAATTTCATTGTTTATGGATATGATAGGGCTATTACTAGATAAATGTTTTATATGTTTATTTGTGCCAAGAATCATATATTTAGTTTTTTTTGCATTCAAAACTAGAGTGTGGGACTGTGACCATGCAAATATTCTATTTAAATCATCATTTAAATTTTTAACGGCAGTTTCCGTGTTCGACAAGTGAAATGATGTATAAACTTGTAAATCATCCGCATAAACATGACAATCACAATTCATAATACAACTCGTTACGTCCGCCGTATATAATATGAACAATAAAGGCCCTAGGATTGAACCTTGGGGCAAGCCTCGTGTTACTGGACAACAAGGTGAACAAGCTATGGTACCATCTTCACCTATTAATTCCACTGATTGTCTTCTATTAGATAAATAGCTTGCAAACCAATCTATAGCGGTTCTATCAAAACCAAAGTACGCCATTTTTGCCAGCAGTAAGGAGATATTTACAGTTTCAAACGCTCGAGAGTAATCTAACAACACCAGCAGGGTAACTTTTCCGGAGTCTTGGGCACTAAGAATGTCGTCTACAACCGTGGTGAGCGCGGTAGTAGTGCTACGATGCTTTCTAAAGCCCGACTGAACGTCAGGTAGGATTTTATTGTTTTCTAAAAATTCGGATAGTTGCATGTAGACCACTTTTTCCAGTACTTTCGACAAACAAGGAAGTATGCTGATAGGACGTAAGTCAGACAAGGTAGTTGGATTATTCAATTTTGGTACAGGTTTAATAAGAGCCTCCCTCCATAGGTCAGGGAACTTGCTAGACAGAATGGATTTATTGACAATATTCGTAATAGCAGGGAGGGTGTAAGAAAGTGTCATCATAATCATATCCAAGGAGATTCCATCCTTACTGATGGCGTTTGATCTGAGACTGTGAATAATTTTTGACACCGTATCCTCATTAACCGATTTTAGGTAGAAGGATTCTGTGCAGAATTTTGATGTAGAATATTTTTGAATGATTTGCGGAGAGACATAATCATTACCAGGGATATTCAAAAAATGATTGTTAACAGCCTGAGGGTCATTAAATTGACTCGGTAAGATTAGATCCGACTTTGGTTTTACCTCAAGATGTTTATTGAGATGTTTCCACATCACTTTGGAGTTCTTTGAGTTACAATTTATATAACAGTTAAAGTAGGCATTCCTTTCATTTACAATTGCTTCATTTACAAATTTTTTCATTGTTTTGTAGCGTTCCCTATTAGCCTCGCTATCATCAGAACGCATTTTGCAATGAGCTTCATTGCGACATTTCATCATTCTTTTAACATTATATGTAACCCATGGGTAGTGATTTTGTCTTATATATATAGTTTTAAAAGGAGCTAAGATGTCAAAAATATTCGTTATATTAGTTGTAAAATGAGAAACAAGAAAATCTATACAATAGTCAAGATTAGAATAAGTATGCCAGTCAATACAATCTAACATAATTTTAAGTTGATCTATGTTTATGTCTCTAATAGGTCTTAATTTCTTATTTCTCGGGCGTATTTTTTCTTTCACAATATTAAGCTCAAACGATAGGAAAGAATGGCTACTTAGACCACTGATATAATCAATATACACCTTAATATCACTTATATTAGAACAAACAAGATCAATCAACGTTTGGCTATGGCTAGTAAAATGTGTCGGCTCGGAAACGTGTTGTATTAAGCTAAAATAGTCCAAAAAATTGTTAAAGAGTATTGAGTGATTGTCTTGTTTATTCAGGAGATTGATGTTGAAGTCCCCCAATAAGATAATATAATCATAAACGGGTAAAGACGCAATCGATTCGGTTAAAGCGTCCAGGAAGTCTTGCACGTTTAACCATGGTGGTCTGTAAGCTGTGCCAATTATAATAGTTTTATTACTATGCCGAGTCCTAAGCCACATTTGTTCAACCCTAGTTTCATTTGGATGTTTAGGAAACTGTGTAGACAAGCCACGTCTGACATAAAATCCTACACCGCCGCCACGCGAACGTACTGCTTCCGGTCTGGGTAAATGGCACAGGCGATAACCCGCGACCTTCGGTGCCCGCCCCTCCTCTCCACTTCGAAGCCATGTCTCGTTAAGGGCCAAAATGTCAACGTTGTGACGTTCCAAGGCAACTAAAAATTCTTCGTGGTGCGTACTAAGCGAGCCAGGGTTTAAAAATCCAACTTTAATATTCTTTAGGCCCCCCATTTATAATGTGTATCATAAATATAAAATCCAGAGGTGGATAAAATGAAAATATATCCACCATGTATATATAGCCTACAAATTTCATATATAATATCATAAAACTTTTGTACAACACTATCTGGTTCCAACGAACTTAGTTCATTCAACCAATCGAAACTATTTAATTTAGCGTTTATAGCGTTATAATCGGCTTTATAATAATTATATTTTAACACGTATACAGAAGGTAGACAGCGATATCTAACATCAAACAGTAATATTTCTAGCGGGGGATGGTGAATACCTGGTTTATTTAGTGGATCGGGAGCAGATTGTACCGAACATTCTTTATTAGAAAACACTAGGTCTAATGTTCTGTCATTACTGTTTTTAACTACATTAAACTGATTTAAATTTAAAAAAGATAGTGTGTCATTAAGATTCCGTATAGTTCCTAACAAGGGCATATCTATGTTCGTTGTATTCATTTGACCATCAGGATCCCAGACAATATCGAGTAGATTGTAGTCTCCTATAATGCAATATGAGCTATCGGAATTGTTACTATAGATAGACTGTAAATTTTGAAAGTGCAAATCATAAACATTGCGAGGCGCAGCTGGTGGAATATAAACGGCTCCTAAGATAATTTTTTTATTGTATAAAGTAATTGTAACGAAAATTTCTTCAACACAAGCATTTTCCCAATTTGAAAACCTTTTGGACATAATATTATTACGAATAGCTACTAACACACCTCCACCATCTTTTTTCATTGTTAGATGCAAATCTCGATCGCGCCTATATATTTGATACCTATTGTCTATTAATTCAGAATCATGTATACCCGGTTGCAGCCAGGTTTCAGTCAAAATTATGACGTCATAATCTTGTGACATATTATTAATTCGGAAATCACTCAATTTTGATTTAAGACCACCGCAGTTTTGATAATAAATACTTAGGCTATTTATAGTCATTATTATATAAAAATGATTACTATTAATATTTAGCTTCCCTGCACATTCACCGCACCCTTTACAAAAAATATGTAAACAGACATCTGACAACAAAAATATAAGATAACTGCCTAAATAGCGAATTCGAAATGTATAGTAAATAAAATAAAAAACAATTGACAGGACTATAAAGTTAACAAGCTTAATTACCCTATGTGAATCAAATAAAACAAGTATATTATAAGTTGTAAAGCATACAAAAAACATGCACATTATAACAAGATAATTCCCTATCTGATACAGAAAGTGTAATCGATTTAAGGTCAAGAACATTATTCTTGTATGAACTGATTCTAATAAAGAACAAGTACTACGCTTTAAGAAATATCTTACATACTGGCTGCAATGTATCGCAAGGATACGATTAGTTACAATTGTTACATCACGTTTCATATATTGAGATAGGTTACCATGGTATATGCCACAAACATAGAAACATATACCATGAACATAAACAAAATTATTATGTAAGAATAGCAGTAGACACAATTGTTTGGTAATAATACAAGTGTTGTAATATATTTCTCTTGTGTTTAAAAAGTTATTTTTATGTTGAATTCTTAATAGTAAGTAGCAACAATAAGAATCGAGCAGTGCTATTGTAAGGAACGCGGATAAAGAACAAATGTGAAATAAGTTCCTCGAATTAACAATGTATGCATGCATTCTAGCGGTATATTGCTTTCCATTTAACACACCTATGAATATGATAAGTTTTCTAAATTTATTTATATACTCCATGATTGATAACATAATTAATAAGTGAATGAGCCGACGTAGAATGCATGCATAAGCATGCCAGACGAAAAGGAAGTGACACATAATTAAATATATATAAAACCATCACAACTTACTGAGGTCTTTCTCGGAACGGATGTACATAACAGGTGAATTGTCATTTTTACGCACTTGTATGATAGCATTTTTAGTCCACACATATCTGTATTTATCGCGAGCTATAGATCTTGTTTTGGAGAATAATATTTTATTGCGTAAGGTGAGATGCTCACTTATGTAGACGGTGCGATCTGATTGTGTTACGTCACTGCCTGACCTCGAAGAAGCGTTGCTTGGTCCACCCGCAGCTATGAGTTGACCCGCTGTTAAGCCACGCCGAGCACGGGATGCAGCGATGACGTCATCCCTCAAATGCTTCGTATTAAGTTGTAATATGATATTTTTAGGTCTGTCTGTATGCGTATTATGAGCAACGCGGTGTACTGCTTTAATGGATTCAGCGGGAATAACAACGCCGAGTAAGGTTCCCAGATTTGAGACTAGTTGCAATAGGTTTTCGTTTTTCCGTTCAGGAACATTCTGTATCTCAACATTGCAGAGTCGGGATTTCTGCTCATTCTCATGAAGGTTGTCCTGCAGGCTCTGCAGCTGTTCCTTTAATTTTAAATTCTCCTCAGTTAAGTTTGTAGCGGTAACTGAAAGCTCAGATATATGCGTCTCTAATATTTCACACTTGGATGTCCATGCCAGGACAGATTGTGAAAGTTTGTCGATTTTTTCATTAAGATAATTTTTCAAGTTTAATATGTCAGCTTCCCGTTCGTTCCGAAGCTCCTTAAATTTGGAATCAATATACGCAATTAAAGCATCAGTATCGATCCTTGACGGAGATGAGATGTCCTCTGCACTGGGTGTGGGCGAGGCTGCAGTCTTTTTATATCTATTTCGCCTACAGATTAAGCACTTCCATTTGAGTCTGTTCATTGGGAGTATCTTTCTGAAGTCCACTTCCTGCATACCCGCGCAATAAAAATGATATGAGTTCGAGCATGCCGCACACTTAAGTAGATCGTTAGAATTTGTAGTTTTATCACACTTATGACATTCCATTTTGTAAATAAAAAATATATATAAGTTATCCAATTATTATTTGTGAATAACGTTATGACCTTTATTCTTCTTCAGATATCGTATTTATAATCACAGATAAGTGGGTAGAATGATTATACTTTACGAACTTGCTGTTAATGTGATATTGGTATTTGATATAATATTTGATTCCAATAGTTGATGATAATGAATTCCGGTATAAAGCACAAGGAGTTATTAGCACTTCACATATAAACTTCAATATAAATCACAGATTTTTGCACAGTCACAACAGGTGATTAGGTTAAGTTGCAGAGATGGTTTGAGATTAAGTTATAAAACACTCTCATGCACGACGAAAACAATAAGTATACAAGTCCAGATCATTTAATTGACAGTTCATCACTTAATTTGTGTATTTAACCGATGAAAGTATTTTTGTTTGTATAAAAACCAGAGATATATAACACCGAGATGTTTATGCTACGGCGCCTCATACGCGACCAAAAAGCGATTGCAATATGTTTTGTACCTAGTCACTTTTTTTATTGTTATTGGGGTAAACTTTTGGAATTAAACAATCTCAATCCTAAATATTAAATTAAAAATGCCAAATGTATTTATGTATTTCGATATAGTAATAAATTTGTATATACCATAAGTTGTTAATTTTAAGCACAGACTGTCAGTCCTGGCCATCATGGCATTTCAAGCGTTCTCCAACGGATAGTAATAAATTTAAAGCTAACTTTCCAAAGTTACATATATTTACCGAACTTAGTTTTTCTGAGAAGTATAGGAGTGTGAAAACATTTTTAAATAGAACAGAATCTTTAAATAAGCAAAAAAAAAATTCATTACATTTCTTAGGTCTATTTTTGTAATTAATTTTCATATATGATTTTACGATATGTGAAATAATGAAAACAAATACAATTTTCTGTAATTAAAAACTTTCCCCTGTTTCATTATATTTATGTCTCATTCATAATGACTGCTATCTGCGGTAAATTAAAACAAACGTGCAGACGCACAATGAACTGGAAACAAGGGCTATAATTATCTCGCTGTAATGAAGATCACGCAAATACAAAGTAAATACGGCGTAAAATGATTTATTACATTCTGTTCTTTGAAAGAAATAATTTCAAAAAATTTTAGCAACGAATACCCAACTGTCTAAATGTTTAAGGACTTTATTATATTTATGTAATGTTAAATGTTTTAAAACACCATCTTATGAAACATAAAAGAATTTTTTCTGTAATTTATTAATTATTTTGATGGGTCAGCTGTTAATATACTAGACTTGTAAGGCCAAATGTGGTCAATATCTGATGAGGAAACTCTCACAAAAAAATCAACATTTACCCAGGCCTTGAAGGTCTCGAAATCGACTAATAATTAGTAATTTGGTTGGTTCGTATAATTGGTAGTCTCAGAAGTATGATTATTTTTTTCTATCGTGTTAACAGTCAAATTAACAAAAAATATATTCATGGAAATTAACATTACAAAAGATGTTTTTTAAATTGAAATCTGCTTTTGCACTAATTTTTTTTTTTATTATTTTAGATTTGTAGCAAAACCAATATAAATTCCTAAGATAGCAATAATATATAATATAGAATATTTTCTTCCATATCAAATTAGTTTTGAGGCTTATTAAAACATGCAATTCCCAATTTTTGTTAATGCAGTAGGAGTGTTAGTCCAGGAATGTTTAGTATTAGTTATCTGGAAAAATCAAGACAGACTTCGATTTGGTTTTTGTAATATTCAATTTATTTTAATAAATAGAAACATTTTATAAGAAAATTCCTCAATGGAAGATTTATAAATTAAAAAGAAAAGATGGTGAAAAAGAAAGTTGAAATGGCAAACAAAGTAAAGATAATTCAAAATGATTCTTATTATGTTAATAAGTTATACGAAAAATGCGGGAGTTTTGTACATACAATACCGGATTAAATTTCTGTCTTTGTTATTTATCTCTGCTTCTTTGGTAGAAATAACATTTTTTAGTCATAGCCATTTAAGCCCAACGTATACAGTTTAGAATCACTTTATAATAGAATCGTATTTAAAAAAAAATAGAAATAAGAATAAGCACAATTATTTTAATTGACTTGTATAAAGTAAAATATATTTACTAAATTCTTATGACAAGTTGACATTTATTGTGAAAAGAAATATTTCTCATGTTTTCAATTTACTCAAGGCTTCTTGCCCTTAAATGTGTCGGTCTCTTCTTTAATGCCGACATAGTGGACGTAATGACACGCACCAGTTACAAATTAGCTGCCTAAGTCACATTCCGTGTATCTTAAGTGAGTATATTCGTGAGCCTAAATAACTAGGACCAACTTTTAGATGACTCGTAAATCTGAATGATCATTGTAATTTTTTGTCAAATAATGGATTAAGTTTGTAACTGTACCTTATCTATTAAAGATTTAAGGTCGTTGAGAGATTTTTCGTTTAGTTTATAAAAGGAAAAGACGGTAAAGCGGTTTATAAAATGGCCTTTTTCCAACTAAGCATTAGAGTACAGCGATATTTCATAAAAGTATTTTAAGCGATTTCCTGGCGTTGGATTTATCGAACAAAATTTAGAGTTTTAGTTATAAATGTATACTTCTAGGAATATTAGTTTTTAGTTAATCAACTCTCTAAATTCTTATGTATTACAAGCATAATGTTATGTAATCGGAAATACTTATAAAAGAAATCTAAAGCCGTCTGTATAATATTTATTACAGAGTAAATTACTGTTATTGATATTACTTTATATTATTGATATCTAATAAATATTTTGAAATTCATTTTATGATGATACTTTTTTGACTCAAAAACCACCACTATCTTGAAGTTACCCTCATCAAAAAGTTGTAACATTGAATATTTTATACAAAATAAAATGTAAGTAATTCAGTTACAATCTTTACCAAAGTAAGATCACTGTATATTATTCATAGATCAATTTCCAACCATGTATAAAGCGCATTTCTTCTCTTCGAACTATGTATTTAGAGTAGGAAGTTATTAAATTAATAATTAGTATACTCTATTTAGCTGCGTCTGAAAGAAAATAATAAAACATTTTAGTGATCTCTTTGTTAAATTATATATATGTGTGTGTTTTTTTGCAAGTAATTGAATAATCGTTACCAAGTAAGTATATTTTCAATGTTATATCTCTAAATAATATATTTGTTTGATCATCTGAACTAACACCCACATATTCTTTTCATAATAATAGGTTATTAAGTTAAAATCAATATCAAAATAGCACACAGCTATCGTTTTTAAGAATGAAAAATTACGTCGTTAACTAAATTATACATGGTCTGGTATAAAATTTTAAGAGCGTGCTTTTGTTTTTAGTATTCATTTTTTTTTAAGAACGGGAGTCACCGACATAGCCCGAAGAATTGCACCACGTAAGTGGCAGTGGGCAGGGCACATCGCTCGCAGAACCGATGCCCGATGGGGCCAACGGGTTCTTGAGTGGCGACCACGAGCTGGAAGACGCAGTGTGGGTAGGCCCCCAACAAGGTGGACCGACGACCAGGTGAAGGTCGCGGGAATCCGCTGGATGCGGGTGTCACAAGACCGGTCGTCGTGGAGATCCTTGGGGGAGGCCTATGTCCTGCAGTGGACGTCTTTTGGCTGATGATGATGATGATGATGATTCATTTTTTGTGTGTATTATAGAAAACGTTTCGAATTTCAGCAAAAACTATTCCACCTAGTGCAAAAAAAGGAAAACAATCGAAACACTTAAATTTTTAGTCACATAATAATTTATCTTTACTACTAGCTTTCCGTCCGCAGCTTTGCCCGTGTGGAGTTCGGAAGAGAACTTTGCAAAAGTCTGGGATAAAAACTATCCTATGTTCTTTTTCAAGGTCAACTCTATCTCTGTAACAAATTTCATTAAAATCAGTTCAATGGTTTAGGCGTGAAAGCGTAACAGACAGACAGATAGAGTTACTTTCGCATTTATAATATTAGTATGGATTATAATTTCTTTATTGGTCTGATTAATTAATTACAAACGAGCATTTATAAAAGCGATTTTCATCAGCAAAATTTAAGTCATTTTCTAAGAAAGTCTTTTTTATATATAATTAATAGAATTTCTAAAATTAAAGGTCCATCGTTATTCTGTTAATAGAAATTCTAGGAAACACTATAATAACACACGTAGGATTCCTACGCAGATTTATAGTTGTCTGATATCTTATTTTTAATCTGCAGGTAAACAGTTTTTTAAAAGTAATTACTTCCAAAAATTCTGCAAAGACTGTTATTGTCATAAGTCCATAACCTGTAATATTTATTTGCGATTCTTCAAATTATGATAAAAAAAAATATGATACAAATTTTACATGAATTTAAGTTTCTAAAGTCTTAATCATAAAAACAATATCGTTAAAATGAAAATTCATGGTAAATAGTTTTTGTTAAGTTTCTGTTACAATATGTCTGAATAAAATGCTGATTTAGTGATATTTTTATAATCAATATTCTGTTTGTTCGAATTTGAAAAAAAAACCAATTAATTTTGTACTAACAACAAAGATCTACAAATAGACAGAAAGCAACGGTCCTTATAATAAAGAACTTTGGCTAAAAAATACATATAAGTATTTATTGTTGAAATGACTGTAACTGTTTAAAATGTATAAGCGAACATGCCGCTGAAAGCACGAAACGGGAATCTCAATTCAAGTGTGGAGCCTTACCATATTAGATATAAATTACGCAAATTAATAGTATTTCTGAATTATTTAAATGATTTTACATTTTTCGGTTTCATAAAATATTTTTTAAATTATACTACATATATTTTTGTTAGCTCTATGATAATAAAACCTTAGTATCTAGAAAATCAATTATGATAGCAATATCCTGTTAAAGGG